AATAAAATCCAGCTTGTCGGTTTATAAATACTAAAGTATGAGATTAAATACCAAATACGCAACGACGATTTAACGCACACAACATTTGCATTCATATAGATAAAACATGAAAACACTTAACGAAAAGCACAAAACATAACATTCTATGAAAAAAAGTTTTTAAAAAAGAAATCGATGCCATTCACAATTCACTGTTCTTAAAATCACCAAAACTAACACCGTGGTGGCCGATGATATCAATTCCTACAATAACATTGCAGATAATTAAACATACATAATGAGCAAAATACGTGCGTGCAAAATGAACAAATTATGGTCTGGTATTTATTTTGAGCAAAAATGTAACATGTTCCTCATTGTCTAATTTCTTTTTTCTTTCTTTCCTGTGATGTAATAACTTTATTTCTTTCAACAGATCAATCCAAACTTATAAACAATATCTTTAAATACTCTGTAACGGTTTCAAATTTGTTATATTTGCTAATCAAGTGAAATTTAATATGGATTTATAATTATTGATAAAACATCAACATCTGCATAGTTTTCGGTTCGTTCCAACTAAATTTTTTTTTTCTGTATTTTATATATGCCGGTCATCCAGACATCTAAGGTTATTAGCAAACACCCTAAGGAACTGAATGCGATTCCCTATAATGAAAGTCTTAAGTAAGCAAACTCACGAGCAAACATCGGAAATTATGAATCCTTCGCAAGATATTGAATGCCTGGGGCCCCGCAGAGGCGTTTCTTTCGATTCAATAATTCTTGCGTTTACTTTTGCTGAAGCATAGCAATTTTTTTTTTATTATTTTCTTTCTACCTGTCATAAAAAGTTGTAGAACATACATCTGAACATGTACATAGATTACTAAAGTTTACCTAAAAGAAAAAGTAAAGCTAGCATCTTTCTTTATGCTTTTCCTTCGCAACAATACGTTAAGAATGAACATTTGCGACCTGGAGATAAAGCATGGTAAAGATAAATACAAGATTTTTTTTCTTCTTCTTTTTAATTAAAAGAAGATGAAGATGAAAAACAAAGACAAGTAATTACGATAAAACAAAGTTTTAATTTATCGTGACTTTGTTCAGACTTCCTTTTTTTTAAAATAAGTAATCAGATTTTTAAATAAAGAGAATTTCATAAAAAAAAAGAGTATTTTTAATTACAATATTTTTTTATGAAAGTACTAGTTATCTAGATTGAATGAGTCTAAAAAATAAAAATGAAAAATCCGATAAACTTATTGACAATTTATGGATGGCAAGTAAAATAGCTTGGTAGTCAGAAATTTTTTACCAAAATAAAACATAGAACAATCAATGTTAACAAACGAATTTTTAAATTAATGTCTACTAATGGGCTGCGCCCCCTGCTCGCTGACGCTCGCCAACCCCCGAAAATTGCTACTCAATCTTATATGGTCTATTCTATGGTCTATCAAAATTCTAAGAATTCAAAACAATTATTCAAATCCATATAACAACTTTTTTTTTTTTTTAAATTACATATTTTTAGTAAATGCTAAATCAGTAAAATAAATTTGAATTCAAATAAATGACATGTGCTATAGTATAAAATCTTAAAGCGTAACAGCACGACTGAGACTCATTTTTCAATGAATAACTAATAACAATAATAAAACAAATAAATTCGCGATATAAATCAAAAATCGTCAAATAAATTCGTAATATATAAATTCGTGAAAAAAAGCGCTTTCGACAAAATATTATGAATGGAGATCTATCGACAAAGACTACTCACTCCTGCCTAGCTTAAGGTTATTTCAGTTTCCGTTTTTAAAAGCGCTATATGTTGAGCCACCTCAGCTAGATTTGGCATGTGACATTTTCAGCGGCAATCATTGGTCGATTTTCTAGCTTTGCCATTCGGGGAGTTGTAATGAGGCTTTTTTTGTCGCCGTGTAAGAGAAATATATATATATAGATTATTTACTCAAATTAATATGCACTATGCAGTTGGGTGAATATAACTCTATTAAGACAAGATAAATTAGTTTTACACATTTGTTAAAATTAGTTAGGAGTTATAAAAATTAGTTAAACATATGCATAGTACGATGACAATTCAATAATGCATAAACTTTTAGCTTGTGCATAAAAGATTGCTTATTGAACTTCATTTTAACACACAACAAATATAATCCATATCATGTTCACATGACAAAAGATCAGACAAAATCGGGATGAGCTTCGTTTGAAACCGCATAACTCAGCCTCTGGTCATTGACGATAGATTCGGCTATATCCACAAAATATCCCAACTCTTGTCCAAAATAATGATAATTACTTATAAAAGAGATAAGTGTTAATACAACTCAGCTAAGATAGTGTCATATAATGATTTTATTTTAATTTTTTTTTAACATAGCCTTTTATTAATACCTATATCATTCAACTTTTTTCAACTAACTAAAGCACATTTTAATTATTTTTAAATTAATGAGTGGTTGTGCTCTAGGCTGTTTTTTTTTTTTTTTTTTTTTTTTTTTTTTTTTTTTTTTTTTTTTTTACGCAGTAAATTTCAGATCGTTCCGCGATCTGAGTTGGCTTATACAAAGAAAATTTATCCCAACTTTAATTCATATTTTCAAAATCCTTTTCAAAAATGAAATAAAAAAATCTGCACATTAAGTCTAGATTTCTTCGTTTTTTTTTTTTTTTCCTGCGATTTAGAATCTCCATACATTCTGTCATTCGAATCACATTTTGAAAGAACCGTGTACTGGGTGTATTCACCAATGGAAAACTGGGGGTTGAGAGTTCGATCCTGGCGACAGATTAAGCAATCGCTGCGTGTACGCAGCAAGGTACAAGTTAAATTTTTCGCTAGTTGTGGCGTGATAGTTCAGAGAGATGGATAGCAGCTCAGGTGCTGCCCACGGCGTCTGAGCGAGATCAAAATCATGCAGCATTCCTCTCACGGCTGTTAAAAAATAAGAACCCTGAAAAAAAGGCTACATGTTTGGCTAAGGTTGGGAGATAGGCGTGTACAGCGTACCAAGCGCTTTTGACCTTAAAAACTAATAGTTATTTTAAATTTTTAAATTCTTTGTCAATGTCAATAGGGAAATAAAAAAAGTATGCATATTAGGAGTGTCTCAAATTGATGTTTAAGGAAGAAAAAAAACGTAATCGCAATCTTCCGTATCACTTTTGACGAAGAGGGTAGTAAAAATATCAAAACCAGTTCGATTGCCTGGAGAAATGTTGAAGCGTTTCTATGAGTAACCTTCTCCGTTTCCTCTCGGAATTGAACAATTTTCAGTAATTTTTAATTTCACCTTCATTCGTTCGCATCATGTTTTACTTAATTTTTTTTTTCCTCCTTTAACTAAGAACTAGCCATCCTCAGATCACTAATTTGTTACTTTAGTTCTGACAAGAATCATAAATTTATATACTAAGAGCGGAGGTTTCAGAACTCCCTGCTTGATAACTTTCAAATACAATAATTTTTGTATGCTAGATTAAAAATACTCTATAAATAAAATTTCGTATGAAACAAAACCTTGCCTTTTAAGGATAAGTTGTATGTGTGAAATATTAATTCCTGCTAAATTAAAAGTCCCCATAAATTTTATAATTGGGAATTTCTGTTGTAAATCATACAAATTAAAAAATAAATGTCTCCTAAGGGGCACAGAGAAAAAAGTCTCTTTGCCGACGCATTTTAATTTTTTTGGTTCATTACATAAACAAAATTCTCAATATTAACAAGTATGTATTTTTAGTTCAGCTTTCTTTACTTCTTTTACTTACATACTTATTTGATATCCAACTAATTTTTGCATTAAAAAAAATCACTTCAATTTGCTATCTTAAAATTCAAACATTGCAGAGGAAATATTTTGTTAAAAATTTAATTTTACAATAAAAATTATTTAACGTTACAAAAAATAAATAAACCATGAAGTAAAAATTTAACTCTTTCCCTTTTATTTTGAACAACTTTTTTGATTAAAAACATTAATAACTACAGTAGACTAGACTGAGACTTTTTACAAGAGGCAAGAGGAAAAATAAGCTTTTGTTGTCATCAATAACACTGAATGGTGCTTTCAAAAGTTAGCTGCAAAGTAAGAAAATGAAGTGAAACAGTAGCTAAGTGGTCAACAAAAGCTCTTTCATTTGAAGTACGTCCCAAGATTCTTTAATATTGAATTTTTCTTTTGTAAGAAGGAAGAGAACTTAGCCGGAGGTCGCCCACACATAACTTTATATACATAAAGAGTTAAATCTTTGATGCAGATGAGACACCGATGCCCTTTTGATTTTTTTCTGGCGCTCTAATTACAAGCAAAAAATATTTTTGCATTTTTCATTATAAAAGACAGTCTAATAATTAACTTAAAAAAATCTGTTAGATTATCGGAATTATATTTGTACTAAAATATAAAAAATAAAGTAGCTTGAAATATTTTCTTTTTATTCACATTCAAAAATTTATCAATAGATGGTGTTGTAAATTAAAGAATTTTTAATGATATATAACTATTTATCTTATATCTAAATAACTGCATATAACGGCAAATTTGAAAAATTATAATTATGATTTTGCTTTTAATGCATAAAAAGTTACTGGTGTTTCGAGCTGCATTTCATACCTATAAATTATTAAAATACTACATAATATTTTTCACTTATTTTGACCAAAATTAATACAAAATAATTAAAAAATTATAGAAAATATGTTTAACAAAAATTCTCAATCAAAGGGTTAAACATAAAAGTGAAATGATATTGCCATAACATTGCTCACTTTCAAAAAAAATAATAATTTACAAAACGGGAGGCAAATTTTCAGCTAGTTATAAACATACAAAATCCGTATCTTTATTAATGGTGACACAGGAACTTGTTGTAACAGCGAAATTCTCGAAATTGTAATAGCATAATTTGTTGTAATAGCGGAATTTGTAACAAACTTTTTCTGTTAATACAATAAAATGAAAAGAGGAAGAAAAAAAGGCAAGAAGTAACAAAATCAAATATTTATTTTCACATATCTTCAGTGAAAAAGCATATTCACTCTCTATATCAATGTCACATAATTTTTTTTTGTCCTCAACAAGGCAAGTGATGACACAACACCTGAATGAAAAAACATGACTAAAAATTAAAGTAATTCAATCAAAGTGCGTGTAACGTATTATTGCCTGAATATATATAATATATACACATGCAAACATATATAGATATTTATACTCAATTATAGAAAACTCTTTATTCCTGTATTATGGAATGACTTATAAATATATATATATTATTTAAATATCTTATTCTACATGACTGAAAAACACATTACAAATTATGTCAATGTATTGTGGATAACATGTTAAACAAACACTAGAGTGAGAATTTTTTCTTTTTTTTAAGTTAAGTAACATTTTTTTTAATGGTAAAACAACTCTAAATAATTAAAAACATAGTAAATACAGCCTTGAATATCACTTTACTTGTTTCTCTCAATGATATGGAAGCATTTTTGGAATACTGTCTGAAGAAGATTGAAAAAATTGCCAGAAGATTGAAAAAAATAATGTTTACCTGGCTAATAACAAACACAAACATTTAAAAAATAAAACATATTTCTTAAATATAACATTGAATTAAATTTAAATTGTAAGAAGAATTTATTGCCATAGTATTGTAAAAGCAAAACTAATATGGAAAATATACAGCAATATGAAATTAGGTCAACTTTAAATACTGTAAGAAAATTCGGACTAAATGGGTTTTCACTAAAATAAAAACAATTTTACAGATATTTCAGCTAATACACAAATACAATTTAAACACATGTCAATCTTGTATAAGTTTTATATTTTCAACAAAGTTGCATATTATGGTATTTTATCACATATTGCTTTGAAAGAACAGAATTGCTGAATGCGTAATTTGGAATATTAAATTATGAAAGGACTTCATTGAAAGACAATCATTCAAAAATTAAATAATCATGAAAATTTTACAAGCAAAGTAATAAACTAATCTGCCTAAAATTTTGGTATTTAACTGATTTGAAAACTATTTCGAAATTTTTATTCACAATTTTCAAACAAAACGTTTGACATTTTAAACTGGAAGACAGACCTAAGATTTTAAAACTGATTTTAAAAATAATTTAATTCTATTAGAAATAACAAACAACTTAACAACAAACAATTAAGTTGGGATAAAAAATAATTTTAAAATTAAGATATGATGAAAAGAAATATCATTTTGTTAACATTGATGAATAAAAGAATAATTTGTCACTGGTTTTTTAAACTCCTCACCCTTTTTTCAATTAAAGGTAAGCGATACTTTTTTGCAAGAAGCATGCAAAATTTAGAATAAATTGTAACTAAATATTTTATACTTTCAAAGATAAATGCGATTCTTAGGGTTTTTAAATATATAATTATACAAGCAATACAAATTTGTATTGCTTATTTAATTATTGCTTGATTATTTAATTTAAGCAAAATTTGTGATTAAAATTTTTTTTATCAAGAGTTTAATTTTATACTGTAATGAAATTATGCGCTTTTGAAAATAAATCTAAAGGAAATGAGCATTTGAACACTCGGTCGTCGAGGATTTAATGTTGATATAGTTTATTATGCTGTTTTTTAAATTAAAATACAAAAATATTCAAATAAATTTATACCCCTTGCACAATTATTAAGCATTTAAAGCAACTAAACTAAAATGTTTAAAGATTACTATAATTTGAAGCAATTTAATATGATTTAATATTCGTGTAGATAAATAAATTGCAAATAAAAAATTATAATTAGAACTATTGGAAAATTACTTATTAGCGTTTTCTTTCTTTAACAGAACAATTATAAGTTAAATCTCAATCTAATATACTAATTAATTGCTGAATTGTTAAATATTTAACAATTTTTGTATCCAATCAGAAGAATCTGATAGATCAGGATTTCATTAGATCAAAATTTAACAAATAATTGTTAAAACTAACTAGAATTTAATGTGTTCATTTTCTAGAAAGACAGTTCTAATTACTAGGTTTTATTTTTAAAAAATATCCTCGGATTTGAAAAATACTTTCTCGAAATCTAAAATATTATATATATTATCTCATACATACATTATTTTTAATATATCAAATCTGAAAGAAATACAGAGGCACCAAATTTATTCTAATTATAAGGCATTTATCTTTAATTGGACTTTAAAGGATATGTATTCATTAAAACTATTTTATAATATTATATTCCCTAATTATATTTGTCTTGAAAATATTCAAGTTGTTTCTACACATATAAGAATGCTAACTGAACATAACTGAGATTCTTTTGTTTGACGCTCTACTGTCCAAAACAACAATTTTAATTGGAAGCTAATTTTATAAAGCTGGAGAAAAAAAATTAAAGCAAAAAAGAGAACTTTTTGAAAAAATTTTTGTACATCAATGGTATATATTACTTGAAGAGTAATTTTTATTCAAAATTCATTTTCTTAAAAGCAACTATTAAACAAAGGTATTCAAATTTTTTTATCAAAATTTCTTCCAATTTAGGTAAGTAATCTCTTAATATTTCAATATGTGGCACTACACTAGTTGCACAAAGAATGTTACATTTGAGTTCAAATTTTAACAGGCTCAATTCCATATTTGAGTAGCTCAAATTAATACATTTCATTTTGTAATCAATATTAACAATCACTGATGGAATTTAAGCAGTTCAAGGAATTTAACCCAAGTTTGATAAAACGGGCAATAAATAATATCATAATTGATATAAGCAAAAAGAACTTTTAAAATATTTTATCTGGGATGTACAGGATATATCTCTCACATTCATAGCTTAGACCATTTTAACAAATCTTGATATCAGGTACTTAGTAATCCTGCTTATGCATGAAAATTAATTACCTTATACATTTTACCTAAACCAATGAATATATCAACACTGAAATAAGAATCTGTGACTAGCCAGCGAGAAATTTCTTTCATTTAATTTGATGCAAAATACAAAAGCGATTGTTGCACAGTGCTTTATCACAGTGACATTGATTTACGGAACTTTCACTATGCTTTAAATATGTTCTTTCATTATGATTCTTACTCTATGGGATTCACAGTTCACTACAGAAGCTGCTTTAAATCCAGAGTTAGAATATAAAATTCATGTTGGAAATAATGTTATTAAGTACTTATAATTTTCTACTTGTCTTTTGTAACAGCAATATTATACTTGTAAACACTAAGACACTAATTCCAAAATTTTTAGTGATCATTTAAAAATTCGATTAAGGAAACATCAGATTGACTTTAGACACCATAAATCCCATAGAGATATTAAATTAAGCACAGCAGATTTTGATAATTTATACATTAAATTTTTAAATCAATGCATACTGAATTCAATAATTAAATCATTCTAAACAAATTAGATTCCTTATAAATGTGTTTTCATTAAATTATGAGTATTTAATAAGCATAATAAACATACTTTAAAGACTAGCTAATGAGCTTATAAATTCCATATAATTACATGCATATTAACACAGCTTACATACCTTAAAAAAATATTAAGTTATAAACCTCGATCCATGCAGCAAAACATTGCAAAAAAACAAAACAACTAATAATTGAAGGCTTTTTATGTGTGTTTACAAAGCAATAAATTCACAATCTAAATTTTAACACCAGATTCAATTGTATATTCGCAATCTTAATTATTTTAATACCTAATTCAAATCACGTTTTTCCACGAAACGCATAACAAACTAAGCATTTACCTTAGCTTCAAGGCACATTCTTTAGAACACAGTTACTTTCTATTGCTTTCACAAAAGAAACTTTCTATCACAGCCGTCTTTTTCAATAAATTATTAAATATAATTTAAATCAAACTATTTACATACAAGAAATTTGTCAAAAAGCTTGACAAGTTTCAGGAAAGTGCCTTAAATTGAATATACTTACTCATTGAATTATAATTTTGAATTATCAAAATAGCAATTTCCTTAAATGTTTTGTTGAACATTATATAAATTTCAGTAATTTTTAATACTTCTCTCATTAATAGCATTAAAAGCTAACTTTATTTTTAGCCTATATAATGTTAAACATTAATATGTTTATGAACTTATTCATGACATATTAATATAACTTTATACATTATGCATAAATAATGCATTCTGTAGAATTGATTTAGATAGATTAATGCATTAACAAAGTATTCACCATAGGAAAAACAACTATTTTCCAAGCTCAATCGTATCTTATCACTACACAATGCAAAGTTAACTCGAGGCACTTCAATGGAGGAAAGAGTATTTAATAAATAGTTAATATATTATATAGTTAAATGTAATTTAGCATTTTTTTGAAAGACTTCATGCTTTACATAACCAAATCTGAACAGTCTAACTGGCCCCTATTGCAGCATATTTACATTTTCTTTTTATAAAAAATCTACTTGCAAAACGTTTTACACAATATACTTCATCTCTGTTTACTTTTATTTACAAAAATCTACATATCCCTATGATTTAAGGCAAGCACGAACTTGGTAAGTCTGCTTCAATTTGTAAAATTTACAAAAGGGTTTTTAAAAATCTTTAGGAGAAAAAGAAAAGAAAAAATGCCGGATTCAATTCATTGGCTTCATATAAGAAAATAGTAATAAATTAATGAAATGTGAAATTCAATCCGAGAGACCAGAGAAGATATAAAAAAAAGCTCTCAATTACAGATGAAGTATGATAAAGGCATGCTGAAATTTATAGATACAAATTAGTTACTGTCAGCAGACAGGAGCCACTTTAGATTTTTTAGGTTTTTTAGTGTACCTATTAGCTGGTATTTCGGCAACAACGATACAGTCATCTTCTTCATCCTCAACAGGTAAAACTGTAGGAGGATTCGCATCAAGCTTGCGCTTGGTAGATCTAGTGGTAGGTCTGCAAACATCTATATGATGTTCAGGGGCCTTTCTAGCGGACCATGTAACGGTGCCTCGGAGTGGCTCCGTTTTAGCCAGATCTGGAAGGGTGGATAAATAATCGTGGATTCTTTCCTTGGAATAATCGAATACGGAATGTTCAGAGTCAACAGCCTTTCGTGAGAATTCCTTCTCACCAGAAGAGTAACAAGAGTTGGAAGTCCTGCTGGATGAAATGTCACTACTTAGAGAAGAAGTACTTCCAACGTCGGTGGAACTTTTCTTCTGCTTACGACGCTGAGCCAGCGGTGCAGCAGATACATCCTGCAAGCAAAAGCCTCGTTCAGTTGCTTTGTGAAAGACGTTCATTTGAAAGTTGAGAGCATTTTCAGCTGCCCTTGGAGAGGTTGAGCTGAGGACATTTGGGGTCCAAAGGCAATTATTTGAGTAGAGATCTCGGTTGCTAACCCAAGGATGGGCTCTAAGTTGGTGCATAGTTAAACGCTGTTGAGGATCAACCGTCAACAAACCTTTGATGACTTCTTTAGCTTCTTTGGAAACAACGTCCCACTGTGGACCAGAAAAAGAGAACTCCCCTTCCTGAATTCGTTGCATAATAGCAGAAGCACTCACTTCTCTGCTGTATGTTTGGAAAGGAGTTTTTCCAGAAAGCATAGCAAACTATAAAAGAAATATTTACAAATTTAATTTAAAAATAACAGATATATAAATATCACAATCAAATCACAGAATAAATTTTATGCAATAACACAAACATTAAGTAATAATTATTGTCAAGGGAAATACTGCTATCACACATGTCCGTGTCTTTCTATGTCAACAAACTATTTTATTTTATAACATATTGCAAGATCTGGTGCAAACTTTCACACTTGGCAAAAATAGATATACAAAATGAAACCAAAAATAATGTTAAATTACATATTTTTACTTCAAAATTTTTGCCTATTTCTTGATGTTTTATTGTTACTTAATTTCTCTGGACAAAAGCTTTATATACTGTTTAGTTATTTAAAATGGCTTAGTTTTTATGTAGTACAAAACAGAGAGAAACACAAAAAGTTTAGAATACTTATTTTTATTCCTATTTACTTCACTTTTTTTAACACTAAAGAACAATTTCCTATCATTTAAACTTCCATCATGAAAAAAATCATATTTTAAATTTAATTATACTTAAAATCTGCAGCTATTCTTTCCATGAAAATCATCAATAACTGTTGAAATCCCAAAAAATTTTATTAATTTAAACTGCTAGCCACTTTTACAATTTATAACAATACGAAATTAATTAACAATCTTAAAAATTTCATTATAGAAACTACTTCAACCTCCTCGATAATAGTATACAATAAGCTTATTATAAGCCTTTAAGCTTATTTTAAAATATTTATGAAAAATGTATCTTACATAGTGTAAAATAAATGTAAGTAAAACAATTTATTTGCACTTATTACACTGATTTATATTTTATACCTAATAGAATAGCATTGCAATTTTATACAAACAATTTTGATATGTATACCAAACTTGAATAACTTGTAGTCTGGAAAAGGTGAATAAGAGTAAAAATAACAATAAACATATAAGCAAAACTATTTTATTATATAACAATAATTTGCTTGATGCTTATAATCATATTCTTGATAAAAGTTCCTTAATGACATCTCTTATACAATTAAAATATTCTATATCAACTTATTCTATGGGCACTTTTTTTAGCATTGTTAAACGTTTCTGTGTGGGTAAAAGGGATGTCTAAATTTCAATTAACTAACAGGTTTTTCACAAATATTAACGAATAAGAAGAAAGTGTATTCTGTAAAAATATATCCATGGTCATAAATAAGAATATAGTTTGATAGCAATATTGTTGATACAGATTTTTACAAAAAGTACAAAAAGTAAATAGTTAACAAAAAGTAAACAAAGCTTCTTAACAGCAAGCGAATCATGGGAAAAAATGAAATGAACAACATGGACAATGAGAAATTATTTAAAGATATAAATGATATTGAAATTAAATAAAGTTCAGATGCAGTATCCAACTGATCTTGATTCAGTCTGTAACTCATCTTAAGAAAATATATTTAAGAATCAACTAAAATTTCATTAGCCATTCAAAGAAAGCCAATTTTAAAAATATGAATGCAATAATTCTAGAATATTGAGGAGTAATATTACGTATTATAATGTTCTAAAAGTGTAATGTTCCAAACTATATAATGATACTTTGAATTAGCAAAATATTGACATAGTAATTTTTAAAAATACTTATATATTGAAAACATGACTAGATATAAAATTTTAAACTATCGAACAGCAAAAAGAAGTTTTTAACAGTTTGAACTTATAACATAAAGCTAATTGTGGATAGTAGTAGAAATTCCGAAAACTTCCGTTGAATTTTAAAAACGGAAGATAACTTATAATTACATTTGATTTGATAAAACCACATTTATAATGCTGAAGGAAATTTTAATTTTTTTCATGTTTAAGAAATATATGAAGTACAATGAAAAAAAAAACATAAGAAATACAATTTGAAATGTTTTTGAAAAATTACTAAAATTGGTAGGGTGCAAGATACAGTCAGAAATATCTTGATTTAAGATATAAAGAAATTCAAGACTGTTTTCTCAGCTTTTAATGCTAACAAAAATTTTAAAAAAAGAAAAGAAATCTTAAATTTGAATTAATAATATTTATATACATACTATTTTATTAAAAAATATTAACTGTTCTAAAAACAAACACAGCATACACATAAAAAACATACATTTTAGCCACCAGTCTAAAAAATTATTTAAAAAAATTGTTTTTCAAAAGAAATTTCATCTAGCTGTATCTATGAATTTGCCTATTTTACAATTATTATTTAGATAGATATTAAATCATATGTTTATGAAGGTATACAATGTACTTTAGTTTTTATAATATTAAATTTGAACACTTTTTTTTTTAAATTTAAAAATAGAAATTGGGGGCCTGCTGACCAGAAATGAACAAATTCTATCAGTAATAAAAAAACGCTAAAACCGATAAGATAGGAAAATAACATGTTAATCACTAAGGGGCATTAACTCATTCAATTCATAATACAAAGTCTTGAAAAAACAGTCAAAAAGTTATAGTACAATTCAAACACTCAATATTTTATCTCCTACTTCAGCAGAGAAGTAGGATCCAAATATTTCAAGATTTAAAATAGTCAAAAATCAAGCCAATATGTAAGAAAAATTTAGACATATTGCTCAAATGAAAGTAGATTTAACTTTTGTCTCTTACATCAATTCAAATTTAAAATCTGCTTTGATACAAATAATCAAGTTCAATAGCATATCTGGTATTACTAGATTCATTATTCAGCAAATTACATAAAATAAAAGCATAAGTAATAACTTCTAGATAGAATTTTTTAAAACTTACCAATATAACACCCAAGCTCCACAAATCACAAGCTTCGTTGTACCCGACATTACGACCAAACATTCGAAGATTTGAAGTAACAGGAAGAGCAACATCTAACACTTCAGGTGCAGCATATTGCATAGTGAAACAAGGAGAAACCATAAGTTCATTGTTAGCAAGCTTCTGGCGAGAAAACCCAAAATCTACGATTTTGATGACGGCATTATCAGATGAATCAACAAAAATAAGATTCTAAAGGAGGAAAAAAATTTGCATCAATAATATAAAAAATAATAAGAGCATATAAAAAGTTATATATTTAAATTCATTCTTAAAAAAGAATTTTTTATGTTAAGACCAATTTTAAAAATTAGAAGTTAATCATTATAAATTTTCTTTTAGTAGTTTGCTAAAGAGTAATAAAAATTGTTGATTAAAATTTTGACTACTGAACACTGAATATGAGATAAAACTATAAAATGGTAATACAATACCATTGAAGAGCATAATGAAATGTATTAAGACTATGAAACATGGAAATTAAACAAAAGAAAAAAAATGATTGTACACAACACTAATTCCGTATTTGTGAAATTTAATCCAATATATATGTAGGCTAATTCAAAAAGCCAGCACTTTGCAAACAAATGTCATCTTTTGTTAGGCTTAGTTGCAGTGAGCCTTGTAGTCACCTGAGTGACGTCACCTTGTAGTGAGCCTGTAGTATATATATA